AGTCCACGAAAGCTTATGCTCTAATAAATTTGTTAGTCTCTAAGGTGCCACAAGTACTCCTGTTCTTCTTTTTGCGGATACAGACTAACACGGCTGCTACTCTGAAGCATGAGGAAGATCTGTCCCCAGAAAAGGCAGTTTCCATCTTTCATCCTGCCATAGAGGAAAGCCGGTTAGCTAGAGAAGAACAACATACAAACAAACTCCACACCGTCTCACAAGGGCCCTGCGGATCTGGCAGAAGGACCTTCTTGTGCTCATTATGCTGTTTAGAAAAGAAAAGAAAGCAGCTAACTAATGGTTACACGTTTCATTTTTCAACCCCTTTTCCTTTAATCCCATTTTGAATGCCTGCCTACATCGAAAAGATTAAAACTCAGAGGGAAATATCTGTAGAGCTAGCACAGATTTCCCCCTCTAAAACCTAGCAAGATTTATTGAATGATCTGTTTTAACTTAAAAGGGGAGGGGGAAGGGAAGAAGAGGTAGCAGCAGCATTAAATAGGAAGGGGTTTGGGTTTGAAGCATGCTGCTCGCTAGCACAGTGAATCCATTTTGTTGTGCTTTTGCCCCCTTGATGAGCGCAGATATTATTACTAATAATACTGGACAAGAGAGATCACATTTTGCTCTTGTCTCTACGTCATTATTATAAAACATTTTATCTCACTGTAGCCCCTAAAGGCCAGACCCTTGCCCCAAAGAGCGAATAGTTTAAAAGACAAGGTATAACAGGTGGGTGAGTGAGCTGGGGAGAGGGGGGAATAGGGTAATAGGGTAACAAATATAATGGGATGTTGGCAGTTCTCATTCATACAACAGCAATGATCACAACTGGCCACTTTCGTAGCTATTGTCCCTCCACCAACTCTGTTCTATTGTCCTCTTTGTCTCAGAGTGGCAACATCCCCCTGATACAACATTTTCAACCACAACAGCTAAACCTTCCATCTCCTGAAATATGTCAGAAGCTGCAGTGGTGCTAGGAATACACCTTTCTGAAGCAGGAGAGCTCATGGAACAAAGATCAGACA